ATGTAATATAAGCAATATACGCCACATTCTGTCTGAGACTTTTGATGTTTAATCTGAGATACTATAATTATCTTAACCTTAATATCTTTTCTATGATGCTGAAGCTTGAAACGAGTTTTCTCTAGCCATACGATTACAGGAACTGCAGGAGGGTGTCCTGCGCTATTGAACCACTCTATACTCCATTCATTGCCCCCCCTGCAATCAACAAAAATACAGGTCCAATGTATTCCTGGTCCTCGAGATGTATCCGTATTTAGACAACATCCAAAAGTTTTATGAGGGCGCTTCTTTATGCCAATCTCTGGCCCCAAATCAACAGGTTCATCTCCTTCTAGCACCCCTATCATATCAATAGTTGCAAAGCGCTCTTTCCTTTCTTCGAAATCCGCCATAGTAAAGGGGCAAGGATAAAAATCATCAAACTTGTGGGCCCACCGTTGAAGTGTCTCATCAATATTGCGATTGCTCAACCAAGCAGTACTATCTCTTGGGCCATACGCCTTGAAATTGATATCAAGTTCCCTATCTAAGAATCTTGAACCAAAGCCTTTACTTTCAGCAAATTTCCGGAAAGAAGGTTTATTTAAGACACAGGATTCCGAATTACAATCCGTTTTCTTATAAATCTGAAACCAGGGGATTGTCTGAGAAGCATTATTATGAACAGCCTTATGACCATTCAGGGACGAATTATCTTGACCAAACTCCCTTATAAGTTCTAGAGTTTTTTTGGAAAAACATGGGGTGTCTTTATCCATTTTCTGTCCCATACATTTCCGGACATCAGAACATTCTGAAGGATCCAAAGATATTCTAGGGAAAAAGGTTTCCGTACTTCTATTTTGTTTTCCACCTGTGCAAGTCCGATGATTTTGATCATCATAGTCCTTAGTTAAATCATTCTTAATAAAATTAACTATTTCTCCTCCTCTCTTAGACTCTTTTATATATATTCCAAGCATTGGATTGTTAATAAGAATTCAGAGAATATATTCCTCTTTTTTTCCTCCGGTCATATCATATTCTACCGCCATTCGGCCGGCCGAAAAAAGAGTTAACAACAAACCTATTAGATATATAATTATAATAGCTACCCCTCCCTAATCTGCGAGAGAGCCTTTCTAGTACTCCGAACCGGAGCCGGCTCGCCAAGTGTATGAGTACTTGATCTCTAAAATCACGTGAACTTTCTAGAGTTGGGCTTCGCTTTATCCAAGAATCCTTTCTCGATTAGTGTATGACTAATGAACGGATATAAATTCGCAGTATGAGGCACTTCGATAAGGCATATACCTTGGTCCTTGCATATATCCCGCTTTTTCTGATCGCGTATTCTGGCTTCGAATTTATGAGTAGGCGGGCATATTTTTCTATTTTATTTCCTATATATTATTCTACTCGTAGATACTACCAATTCTATGCCCTGTTTTACGTCCTGCTTTTCTAGAACCCTTTCCCGTACAGTCGTTCCTTTGGGTGCTCCTATACCTGGTGACCCGGATGCGCAAAATTCATTCTCTCTTTCCTATATATAATTCTGCTTATCTGGGTCACCAGATTTATACCCTAGATCCCGTTACATTCGATGAATAGGCAGACAAGCAAGAGTGGCTAGGAAAAGAAAATCCAGAACGGCATGAGGATGGATCGATTTGGTGGTTTTCAAGACGAATTCCAAAGTTAGCGCCCCAAAAGGTAAAAAACGAACATGGGTTTGGTTACTGGAAACTTCCTAAAGGGGCAGATAAACCACATATAACAAATAATTATGCTAAGAAAATTCGGGATCTTATGAATTATGAAGAAGAATATGTTATTGGGGTGGCTAATGATTGAGAAATGGGTAGAATAGAGGAGCGAATAGTGAGCGTCTTGTCGCTCAACCACGCTAAGTTCCGTCCCTGGGTTTTCTGGCTTCGAATTTATGAGAAGGCGGGGAGGAAAAATAGAGTATCATATGGGTCCTCATGGATGGCCATCATTGCGTACTCATTCTTATAAAAAAGCCATTCTGGAAGAACTTCTATTAGTAGATAGGGGGGGGGGCGTGGTTATCCTGGAAAGATTCAGAGGCAATGATTCTTGATGAGTATCAAGACGAGCCATAT